TGACATCAGTTAGAGAACCACTGGAAAACCTGCCTGGGAGTACTGGACAGCTGTTTCGTCCTAGTTTGGGACTCACTGGGGTTCGAACCAGGACCTTCTGGTTACGAGGCCGGCGAGCTCGTAGACCATTGAGCCACTGGGACCCGATCCAATGGTCTTGAATTCTAACTTCTACCAATTCACGACATAGCGCGACCATTTCGCAATGTCTTCTTTTAATGAGTTACTGCCTCATCTTCAACCTGCTGTACCCTACTGGTCACGGCTTCCCACTAGAACCTCAGGTTAACTGCCTGAATAGGGCCAGTCGCTAGTGAGCATCAGATTAATTTTCAAGTATTGGTTTTGTATTTGTTGTCATTACAATAATGGCCAGTTATGTGGCGGATAAATTTTTTTACGTAGAATAACAGATCAGTTATGGGGTGTCAAAATAAATAGTCGTATTTGTGTGACAAACGTGCTAGACTGAAATCGATTACAAAATATTATGCAATGCGAGACAATGGTGGTGTTTAGTCATAATAGATTCATAGAATGTGGGGTAGGAAAATTGACAAGTCAGTTCAAGGTTGGTGAGTGACTAGTACAAAGTAGTATGTATTAGAGAGGAGATAACAGTGAGACTGCAATGAGAGGTTCATCATGAAATAACCAATATGTGGATGAAATGAAACAGGTGGAGGCATATATTGAGAAAAGAGATAATATCACTAATAATAAGTGCGGATAGTATAAATGGAAAATTCGATAGTATAGAGAGAATGTGTTGAATGAAGGGTATAAATTATGACGAATAGTAATAATTGTAATAATAAGCAAAGAAAGAAAGAAAGAAAAACCTGCATCCAGTGCATCTTTTATTCTCTCCAGGATGATGCAACTTAGTATTTTACTTGGCGTGGAGAAGAGCAATACAAAGTAAACAAAATTATTTTACTTCTTAACAATACTATTATTACTCTCTTGAGGTTCTTAGTAGAGCATAGTGCTTCAGCAACAATCATTTTTAGTGGGCTAAATGTTTACTCATAGGCTTCATTTCCACTCCCCACGATGACCTTTATGTCACGCTGGGAGGCCCAACTAGCCATTTTCCATTCGAAAACCTGGTTCTATATCACTCAAAGGTCTCCACATCAGCGTAGATCTACCCATCTTCATTTCCTTTTGCAAATTTATTGGGTGATAGATTCTTAGTTTTTCCATTCTCAAAGTTTCTGGTTATTTATCCTTTCCAACTGGTCATCTGATCTTTGGTGCAGAGATAAGGGAGCAGCTGTTGATGAAAGTGTGCAGTAGGCTGTTTTGGAAATGCTTTTAATGATGGATGAATTCTGTAAACTATATAGAAGCACTGACTTGACATTCATGAGATCTTGACATAGTTGACTCAAATTTGGTGATGGTAATGATAAGTTTATATGTCACCATGACAACCACTTGAGACAGATTATTAGAATACTAGACAAAATATTTCGTATTATATTTAAAAACAATTAGTCTCTTTGATAAATTTGAATAAGGCATTTAGGAGATAAATTTCGTGAGATGATATCGTCATCTCGTCGTTTCTCTACAATCGCTCTACAACTAACATGGTTTACAATAATAAAATTAAATAAAAGGCATGACAATTACTCAGTTATATAAAAACAAAAGTACATACTAATGACCAATCATATTTAAATAGGTCAAGTATACTCCCCAAGGTTGGAGTCTATTGATTTTTGTACACATAGTTTAGGATGCATGTGATTAATCCCCCAAAGTGCTTCCATCACCTTCAATAACCAACCTTGAATTAGAGTTATGTGAAATAATTGTGAAACAGTCATTAACAGTCATTGATTTTGTGACCTGACATGAATAAGTGCTTTGCAATGGATGATGATGGATTCCTATTCAGATTAATTGCATTGGGATTTTCTGTGTGTTTTAATAGCCATTTTGGAACATGTTCTTTTCGACGACATTGGAACATTCTATTGGTTCTACCTATATAAATGTCACCGAAACTGCAGGTGAACTTGTGGATACAGTTTGAAGTAGAGACCACTGAATTTCGTCCTTTAATCGTAGGTACAAGGATAGAAAATTAAGCCGACTTTTACAGAGCTCACACTTCATTTGTCCATCAATCACTTTCAACTACAACGGTGTAGGCATATCTTCCATCTCTATGAGAAGGCACAAATCTTAAACTAAGTAGAAGCAGTAGAGTATAGTGGTCTATATCGAGAAGTTTGAGGATGGTGGTAAGGAACTACCAGCTAATTTTGGTCAGACTACAGATCAAAGTGGGTGTCGGTGGTTCAGGGATAGAATGTTAACCATCCATGCTGCATATGGTCCAGGGTTCGATCCCCAACCAACACACTCCTAAACCTCTCAGTCGATAAACAGGGAGTTTGAGACTAGCAACCCCACCCCCTAAAAATAAAACGAATACTACCAAGACTTCAAAGCTCTGGTTTGAAGCTCTATGTCCCGATCGGAAAGTAAAGGATTAAAATAATAGTTCACAGCAGTGACCATCCCAGTCTTTGGTGATATTGTATCTTATAAGCTGGATGAATCAAGCTTCTAAGCAGCATTGTTAACCTCAACTGTTCAGTGAATTTGTCTAAGAGCAATTAGCCTAATTAAAGCACAATATGCTGAAAATGATATTTGGACTGATGTTGAGGATTTGGTTTATGGAAACTTAAATACAGACAGTTGCAAGCTTGACTGTGACTGAGGACTAAACACCACACATGGCACTGGCTACTCTCTAGTGACCAACCGGTATCTGTAAATTACTGTTTGAAAATTTCGCTACCTTCAAAATATAACATGCAATATTTGTGCCTCTAATGAGTACCTTGATGCTTTGTGTTAGAGAAATCTGCACAATCGACAATTCCTGACGATTATATACAAATTTAACTTTCCTCGTGGAGATAGTTACGTAGGTAGAACGACTTGACAAGCCCACCATCGCCTTCTCGAGCATTTTTCAACATGGATAGGTAAAGAAGTCATAAAGTCAATCAGGAGTTCCATATTGTCACACCTTGTGAATACGGAGAACAAGATTAATAAAAATTCAGCCTTAACAATTCCAAACAAAGTATCACCTCAATTCTCTGACTTTGTACACCTTCGATTGCTAAGTATAGCAGAGACAGTTGCCATGATCATATTTCAGTCTGATATGTACACTGATAAACAATGGATTATCCTTTTATGATTATCTTCCCTCAAGCATCGTTTCCTTTGTAAGTAAACATTTTCTGACTGATACTGAAATATTCTTCCCGTCTCACATCATTGTGTGTTCATGCTTAAGTGATGCCGGCTGGGGAAACAGGTAGCTGTCATATATTATTGTTGGTATAACGTGGCAATTGCGTAGTCACCGCATCCGTGTCCAACCCGGCGTCCTTATTCAGCTCAACATACTGCAAAATATAAAAGTGGCGACGAGGGTGGGAGAGAGCTAAATCATCATACATATATCGGAAGGACTAAACGTCATGGACACACACACGCAGCTGCGTGAAATGAAACTACTGATCAACTCAGAGTATGGATAACAAGCAATAAATACGGACTATCGTTAGAAAGTGAAATTGTTCAAAACTTTTTTCAGTGTAGATTATTTACAAAGATTTAGAAGAAATCTTTGTCGACTAGAGAATCTCATAGAGTCTGTTACAACAAAATAATTTATCTAATACCATACCATACACTGAATGCGACCATAGAGACCCAAAGAAATCTAGATAAGAAGGACTCCACTGAAATAATAATAAAGTCTAGAAAAAAGGCAGTGACACGACTCCCCTTACTATATTTCACAAGGAATCAAAGGAAGAGTCAATAAAAAAAGTAATGTTAAAAATAATCACGAAGGTTGTCGGAAAAGACAGCAACACACACAATAACTAGGTTAATGTTCTCAGACCCATATATACTACTAACTTGTAATCACTACGTACAGGAAATGAATTAAAATAGCTAGGAGTGAAAATCATCGCGGCTAACAGTCAGGATTTCTGAAATTTATAGTAAACGTGAATCTTTATAATCCCCTCCCTTCGCCTAGTAGACGGAGGGAGGGGAGAATGTATGGTACTCACTGAAAACTCCAGTTGGAAAGAGGATATTTCTTAGGAACAGCAGTGTCCGACTTAATGTATAATTTCCTAGAATGAATACTTTATGAATGTGTGGTTGGAACTTGGAGGATGGGACTGGAACCAAATTTTTGGTATTTTAAAGACATACTCATCAAAATATCAGTAAATTACCTATCTCTGTTTCGCGTTTCTTTTTACTTTCTTCTCTTGCTTTGTGTGCTGACTGAAGTGAAGAACAATATAGTTTTACTGGAAATTATAAGTCACAAGGAGTGGTTGAATCTGAGCCAGCCATTGAGAACGATTTTAAACCATATCACCAATTGTCTCCAGCCATTAGTTTTTACCGTCCCGAGGACCCCAACCAGGAAGTCTACATCTTCCTACGTGGATTAAACTAACTGTTGCGAATTTCATTGACGGATGAGGCCATATTTTCGTTTGACCACCACTGGCTCTTTTCCAACCTGACTCTATGTCAACTAACATTGCCCGTCAAGAAAGGCGACGGCTAGGCGTGCATGCGTAACATATGTCCTAACCATCTCAACCGATGTAACTTCACAACCTCGTCCTGCCTACTTGGGACTCTTCATCACAACGCGCCTACGGCCCCATTCACAGGCGATCGCATTGAACATTCAGCCGGAAGTTAATGACCCATGAATTCTAACACAGCACCACCGGCAACCAATGTCATCATCACCATCATCAAAGTGTGTATTTGTCATCACAATCGACCTAGTGGACCACAACACAATAGCCCCAATTTCTCACACTAGAACTCCAGTCACCTTCGTCTTATTATATCAGTCATTAATTAATTGAGTATTATTAGATTAATTTTCAAGACAAGACAATATAATACAAAGATATTAAAAATGACAGATGAATCTAATTTTATTTAATTAAATAATTAATTCACTGAAATTAAACAATAATAATAATACACAAATTGTTAAACATGTCTTGTACAGATTCTGTTGATGAGAGAGACAGAGAGGGGTGCAAGAGGGGGAGCAAAAACAAAAGGAAATAGAATAAACGAAAAGTTAAGACAGAAAATGGGACAACTGCACAGAAATATAAACCTAGTTATTATTAGTCTGCTTCTCTATAGGAGGTGGTATTCTTTTAAGTGTTGATATTTTCAGCCAACTTGCCCACTTTACCAAAGTAATAATAACAATAATAATAATGATAACAATAAAGTGGTAAGCATCAGTGAGTAGTACTGAATGGAGAATTTACACCGGATTACTGATGATATAATCGTTAACATTAAATTATTATCATCATTGTCAAGATGATAAACACACAATAATAATAATAATAATATGTTATATGTCTCCAGTTTATTCCTTGTTGTTGTCGGCCGCGGCCGCGGCGTCGTCGTTATCTCATCAAAAAAACAAAAAGAGACACAAGAACAAATACTGTTGAGTACAACACATTCACCAACTGTTTGCCGAGGGAGGGAGAAAGTTAGATAGGAGGTTTACAAAATAAAAAAAGAGAGATAAAAGCACAAGAAGCTACGATAACAGTGATGGTGATAGCGATAGTAGTAGTAGGAGGAGGAGGAGGCGGAGAAGGAGCTACACAACGGAAGGACAACACAGAAATACACACACACACACAGAGACAATGACGATGGTGTCACTTATTCGGTTTTCTTCTTTAGCTAAAAATAAATGCACTTTATAGATTGTTTTTCTCTTTCTTTTCTAATAATCAGCTGAAGTGATAGAAATGACAAATCATACGCGGAATAACTAGTGAAAAGAGAGAGAGAGAGTGAGAGAGATTACAGCTCATCATCAACTAACCCAATCAATCAATTAGAAGAAAATAGTGAAATATCATACACAAATAAAGAGAATATATATATTTATATATATGTGTATACATACACATAGGTAATATATGAGTGGAGAAATTTTGAAAGAAAACCAGAGGTGGGGCAGGCAGGGGAGAGGTGGTGTGGTGGTGGTGGTGATGGCGCGGAAGTCAGAGGAGGATCGACAGAAGAGGATATACGGCGTCTTGTTTGTTTCTTCTTCTTCTTCGTCGTCGTCGTAGTCGACGACAACAACAACAACACAGTGATGATGAGAAGGAACACTGAGGCGATTATACACACACACACACACTTTACAACAACACCAAAAAAGTATGTTCATATACAAAACACTCTGTAGGTGCTATGTGACAAAAGAAAAGAGAAAAGAGAAGAAGGATAATCAATGAATGTAATGAATGAAGCAAAATAAGATCTTGAGCATATAATGCACATATATGTATGTATATGTGTATGTTATACGAGCATGTATACGAGCACGCGTGTACGCACACATATGCGCGAAGGATGGATGAATATTTTAGACAGATAAGACGTATTGTATATAATGTTGCATGTATACACACATCCAAAAAGATAAGATAGCTTGGTTATCTCATTAAAGATGTATATCTATATATCTACCTTACAGGGAAAACACAATTAGTCGGGTGATCATCAATCCAGTTGTCAAACCAACGACTAGATTAGAAGGGAATTTGGGCATTACTCATCAAGCGTGTGTGTGTGTGTATCATGAACTAGACGAAAAAGATTATTTGAATACATCGTTTCACAGAAGACAGAGAGATAAAGAAATACAGAAAAGCGAAAATCATATATGAGGCAGGAGCAGAAGGAGATAGTGGTGGTGGTGGTGGCGTTGGTGGGATCATCGGTTTTGTTGCGATCCTCGATTTGAACAGGCAAGACGATGTGAATCAATCAGTTCTTGAATTTTACCAATCCTAGATAAATCAATGAAAAACAACAAAAGTTTTATGTAGTTGTAACATTAAGATACTAACAAGGCGATTAAAGTATGCATGATTGTAAATTAAAAAAAGGTGAGAAGTCGTGACCAATGAGGTCCATGTAGACGTCACGTGTGAGGATGGATGTCCCACTGACGGCATTGTGTGCGTCGGTGGCACAGTGGTTAGGACTCTCGCCGACCACGCACATGGTCCGGGGTTCGATCCCCTGCCGGCGCACACCCGATATCTATGGTCGGCCTGCAAAATTTGGGCTACCGATATCCATGCTGAAAATTCCATACTTGTACTGAAAATACGGTGTGGAATCAAGCTGAAAATCAAAATAAATAAATAAATAAATTGATTGGGGTGGCGCTAAATCACGAATTGGTAGAAGTTTGAATTCATGCACTGGCCATTGAATCGGGTCCCAGTAGCTGAATGGTATACGAACTTGTTTTGTGACCGGAAGGCCCTGGGTTCGAACCTTGCTAGTGGGTGCGTACTGCCAATGATTCTCAAACTAGTGGGATCAAACAGCTGGTTTTCCAGTACTCCAGTGCTGATTTTTATTGGTTCTCTAACTGATATCAATCTGCGATCAACCCATAATAATAAAGGTATGTTAGTAAAAAGTTTCAACATGACATAGTGCTTTGAACCTTTATCAACCACTACCTCATTTGACAGCCATATATGCCAAGTGATTCACAGTGGAAAGCTTAACAAAGCCTCTAAAAAAAAAGACAAGAATAAGACAAAGCTGCCTACTATCAACGATGATGCACTTCCCATTGCGGTGGACTGGACCATTGAAGCAGACCATTGGGAATGCAGGACCGATAAGGAGAATCTGTAAGATCTTGACTTCGTGTATGATTTATGACCAATGTCATAAAACTCGAAGATTTACAAGCGAGAATCAAAAAGTTGGCTGAAGAGGCAGGTAGTGAAGACAACACTCTTCAGGTGAGGTGAACACAGGGAAGACAGAGGTGATGAAGATACCCGGACCGCTAACAACAACAACAGCAACAAGAAGTACCAATCACTATCAACAGGATAAAGTCTAACAGAAGTTACTTCATTTCACTTATTTAGCCTAGGCAGAATGCTTTCAACTACAGGAGGCGGCACAGATGACGATGTCAAAGTCAACCAAGACAGGCTTTCATTAGTCTAAAATCAGTCTGGAAACCTACTACTACTGCAAAAAGTATGAAAAACAAGATTCCAATTTATAACACTAATGTCAAGCTAGTCAGTGCTACTATACGGTTAAGAGATTTGGGCGTCACGAAAAACACTTTCAACAGGCTACTATCGGCTTGCACCAATAGCTGCCTTAGCTGGTTCGATACGGAAGACCAGGGAGCAGACTGACCAGAAAGGAGGATATGCATCGAGGAACCCTTAAAACGAACGAATGCGAGACAACGTGTTGGGCATCGGTCCTAGGGTGAACACACACACATGAAAGAGATCGAATGAGGAGGAGGGGGAAATGAAAGCTTATGTAAGCAATCATGAAACTAGTTAAAAACGACTTCAGGGGAAAGGGTGAAATGGAGATGTGCTGATGAAGGCCTTATATTCCATTTCGAACTCAGTGGAATAATAAAAATAATTCGAAGAGTTTTTTTCTTTACACTGAAAAATCCGTCACACTGTACAAAAATTCATGCAAGTTAACATAATATAACACCTCAAATATACTTGTTTACACGTTACAGATTCGAAATCAATGTATTAAAACGATGCTTGAGTACATGAGAAAATGATTTATAATACACTCCTTTCTAATTCAACAAGGGTTAGCAAAGAACATATATATCTTCAACATGTTTGCTATCCTCCCGTCATCCAATTTACCATATATAGATGTATATTTTTACTTTATTTTTATTACAGCTTGATTCCACACCGTATTTTCAGTACAAGTATGGAATTTTCAGCATAGATATCGGTAGCCCAAATTTTGCAGGCCGACCATAGATATCGGATGTGCGTCGGCAGGGGATCGAATCCCGGACCATGTGCATAGTCGGAGAGAGTCCTAACCACTGTGCCACCGACGCACAGGAGAGTATCTACTGTTAAAATCTCTCCACATATAATGGGTGATGATTGTGAAGGTGAAGTAAAATTCTGCATCATGGAAGGATTCGAGCCAGCGGCCTCCAAAGCATCAAATCCACTACTCTAACAACTGGGCAAAGAGACCCAATTGCGTTAAACAAGTTATCACTCCACTGCAATAGACACCACAGGGCAATGTCCGGCTTTAGCTCTTTGCGTTTAGAAAGATGGTGACACTATCTGCAATAGTCTTGGGCTGATTATCATTTGTGTTCCAAGTGGAACATACGACTAAAAGCTTGAGCCTTAAAGTTCCAGTAGCAGGGGTGTTTATTTTTTACGGACTGTGGGATTGTTAACTTCACGCGCAACCTTCCCTCTTTACCGGGCTTACTACCGGCTATGAGAGGTTTAAAACTGCGTCGGCTAGGGACCCTGAACCACCGATGCCTGGCGGTTTGGTATACTGTTATTCAATCTACAATCTCACAATCATAGTTTACACGAGCTGTTGATTGACATATTCACAGTAGCCAGCAACGTCTATAACTTAAGAATGAATTTGAATTAATAACTTGATAATTGAATTGAACCTTTGGTTAATTAAAGATTTCAATATATTTAATTGGAGTAATAACAAAATGGGGGATGTTTTTCTTTCTGGCAGTCATTAGGATTAAAAGTCAATCTTTTATTAGATCAATAATATCTGTTATTTGTGTTGTTATTGCTTCTTAAGGTGAAGATCAGTCAATTTCAGCATAGTATCATCATAATCATCACAAACTATCTAGTAATACAAACAAACAAGCAAGCAAACAAAAATCAACAATATTGAAAAAAATGTCGAATATTACACTTGGTAGTTGTTTTTCCCCCAATGTGTTTGACCTATGCTTATGTATTCGTTGAAATAAAAAATGTAGAGAATGAGAATCCAACATAAGATTAAGTTGAAAAAGAATTAGGTGTGATGAAATCCAAACCTGGCATCAGTCTATGAAGTCGGTGGCAGTTGGTTAGATAGAGCCAGTCACATAGGGAAGGTGTGGACTGTCAGGCTAGTTGTGGTTACTCTCATATCCCATATGTAGGAGGAAATAGAGATGGATTAGGACACACACACAATGAGGGGACCGTCGAATGATATCGCGTGCCAGGCCATCGCCCGAATGAAATCCAAATGACAAACGACGAGTGAGTCGTCAATGAGAGGGTGACACATAGAGGAGATCGTGTGAAGAAGAGATGAGAAATTATGGACAATTGTGGACTCAGCTAAAGAGGACAGCAGAAAATAGAACAAAGTGGAGAAGTGTGTTGCTGAAGCTCTAAGTTCCACTCGGAACCCGAGGAAACTCTCAAGTTACTATTCCTTCTCCTGAACATTACTGCTGATTATAATTCTTTTTAATCCCTTTTTCCTTTCTCTCTTTTGTCTACTTTTGTATGTTATATATTGAGTGTAGCGACATGCACTGCTGCCTTTCTGTGCTAAGTTCTACGTCGAAACTCAATATTAGTCAGTCAGTCTAGAGTGTTACGTCATGTGATAATGACTATTATTACTATTATTCTGATTGAACACAATCATTACTTTACACAGTACTAATATGTTCAAAAAAAGGTGCTAAGACCGAGAACATTATTCTTCTAACAAACTTGAACTCTTCCAATAGAAGAGAGTTACTTAAGAGAATTATTAATGAAGTAGGTTTCCTGATGCCTGTTGGATATATATACATATATCACGCTTACATTTAAACACGGAGTATTAACACTGAATCAAATTTGTAATTTACACAGTTCAAGAGAGGTGAAATTTCATCAAAGTATCCTTTGGGAATCAAAATTACTGACATGACACTATATACTACTGACTGGTTGATTGCAATGAGTAGTTGTATACTGCTTACATCAACTAATCAGTAGTGCTTGCTAGCCAGATCAGAGTAATCTGAACACCGGAGATACCACCTATCGTTCAGTCGGTCAATCCGTGGGGTTAGTTTGAAAATTTCAAATTTGATTTAATGGGTATTACCAGTGCGTTTAAGCAGTTAGACAGAATTTAAGGAGTAGAAACACAACTGTCCAGTGCTTCCCTAGTTTTCAATGATCTCTCTAAATGATATCGATCTGTGACGCAATCTAACAACTGAAATCAAATTCATCCAATTTCCCACAAATTTCGTAATTTAAATATTAATTTGCAGATTATTTATAGCTACCGGATGAATAGCAATAAGCTGTATATATATTTTTTGGTTATAGCTTGAAACCACACAGTAATTTTGGTACAAGTATGGAATTTTCAGCATGTGATATCGGTAGCCCAAATTTTGCAGGCCGACCATAGATATCGGGTGTGCGTCGGCAGGGGATCGAGCCTCGGACCATGTGTATGGTCGGCGAGCATCCTAACCACTGTGCCACCAGCGCACATTGAGAAATCGTGACCAGTGCGATCCGCCATGTCAACGTGAGGAATGGATGTTCATCGAAGGCGTTGGCGAGAGAGCAGTACTGTATCAAGAATCGACAAAATCACAATTCACTGGTCATTGAATTCCAGACGAAGTGCCTGAATGGTTAACAAACTAGATCTCGTAACCTGAAGGTCCACAATTTGGTCCTTGAAGAGGTGGTCGTGGGTGCGCACTGCTGAAGAGTCCCAAAATAGAACGAAAGAACTGTCCAGTGCTTCCCAGTTTCCAATGACCTCACGAAATGAGGTTACTTCATGTCGAAATTTAACAATTGAAATTAAATTAATCTAAATTGCCACAAATCTCCTTATCAGAGTTTAATTTGGTTTCCATTGGACTCCACTCTCTGAGCTCAGTCAAATCAAGTACAGTGTTGATGAGCTGGCCTCTAAATGAGTGAAACAGCCACCGTCCGCTTTTTAGATAACTTTCATCTGGTCGGCTAGCAAGCACTCCTGGTTGATGTGAGTGGTTGGTATACAACTACTCAATTCAATCAATCCGTAGTAGTATATAGGAGTGTCAACAATCATATAACTATATTGAATAGGTTTTTTCCAAATTAAAACGCTCATATGATATCGTGGATAAAATCACTTTTGACAAGTCAAGAGTCAAGAAGACATACATTTAACACTTATCTCTGCTTAAACATACTTCTTCGAAAAAAAAGATGAATTTCTCTGGGGAACATGAAGATGGTTATTCTGTCTAAAACTAGAGTGTATCTTTGACAACTTTTGTTTTCTTCTCTTGTAAGAGAGAATTAACAAAAAAAGGCATCATCATAATGTGCACATGAACGCATACGTATACACACACATACATACACAAACAATGCTAGAGCAAGCATGAGAACTATTCAATTTGCTTCAGTGATTGAAGTATTTATAATCTGTAATTCCATATTAGTTTGTTTATTAGATGTATCACACAGTGATGAAACAGTATTATTTACTGGATGACGAAGTTTCGAACAAAATTTATTGCGGTTCATAATCATGTCATCAATTATAATCACACGACTTCGAAACTTGAGTTTTATAGTTTTCTTTGACCTCTCCTATTTGTCATCGTAGGGGTAGTCAAATTTTCCAGATATCTGAAGGCAGGTGTTTAATCATTCCTATTACACGTATTTGCAGTTGATTCGATAAACAACGTTTCTGTTATCAATCTCTCTCTCCACGATGTGATATTAGATTTTAAAACTGTCATCCTATCCCATCCTATTGTATGGTTGTGTGTAACTGCATGTAGTGAGTGGTATAGCTGAACTATTCTCTAGATTTCTTATCTTATTTGGGTCAACCAATCTAGATTTTGCTAGGTCTGACTAGTCTGACTACCACTGTTCTACCAGTTTGACCTATGTATTTGACCTGACAATCATTCCACCAGGGTATTAGATAAACTAAATTGTTATTCAAGTGTTGGTTTGTAGGGATTTGATTGGTTACAGGATTTTTCTTCATGAGCTGACATTAGTTAGAGAACCATTGGGAAACCTGGGAGTACTGGACAGCTGTTTCGTCCTAGTTTGGGACTCTTCGGCAGTACGCACCCACCGGGATTCGAAAACAGGACCTTCTGGTTACAAGGCGAGCTCGTATACCATTAAGCCACTGGGACCCGATCCAATGGTCCATGAATCCTAACTTCTGCCAAAATTGTTTTGTTTTAAAGGCTCCACAGGATCCTCTAACCGACAAAGCTTGTTTCTAATTGAGTTTGTGGGTTTGAATGTCACTTTTATTCCTGCCTTGTTAAGATTTCAACGTAAGGTTTACGAGGTTCCTTCCTTGTATGGAATTACTACTGATGATTTAGATTCCTTATTGTTGGTGTCGTCATTAATATTAATAATATTATCACTATCATTATTATTGTTATCATTATTATTATTGTCACTATCGCTACTAACATTATTTATTTTATTTTTACATTTCCTTACATATTTCCTGACTAATTTATCCGGGTAATTATTAAGTTTCAAGGCTTGCTTACCACAGTGCCCAAGTTTTACACATACACTTATAATCTGAATGAATTTATTGATCTGTCACCAAAGATTTCTTTACAAGTTGACTGATAACCTTTTTAATCAAAAAGTAACTTCAACACATCCTCAATTGACAACCACTACGTTGACGTGGTGGTCAGGTTTGTATATATCACAATGACCCAATGAGCTACACTGGTTGGAATTAATGTCCCACTACACGTTCTACCATTGCTACAAAGGTCATTTGGATAACGATTACACCAAAAGTAGTTACCGTCAATGTATAGGTTGCTCACATTATGTTGAGGGTCATCTGTGAGCAAAATCATACTGCTGGAGAATAGGAATGTAACAACAGTACGCCGCTTCCCTCAGATAACCAGCATGTTAACTATGCTGCATCTCTGCTCTAGGTACCCAGGGAGGAGAGTAGAAAAGGTTGACCTCGGAAATTGTACATCTCGACTTACCACCTTGCGGCGGTCCATAGTAAGATCTCGATAAGGACACAATTTTAAAAGTCGATTCAAACAGGCCGTGTGTGTATGACTGGCCTTAAACAGTTGTCCATTGCGCTCTGAGGTCATGCACTTCACTAGTGCTCTTTCTCACACTGTCAGCAACTGGGAATTAATAACCACTTACACACACACACACTTCCGAAAGCGAACAAAGCTGCTCTCCTGACCATGACCATCATTCACTTCACATAAGCATTTTTACAAAACAACAACAAAAAAAAAAATCAAAATTAAAATTAACAGTAGATTTACTTGCAAAGCCAATTTCCAGAGGATAGTAAATTGCCAACAGATCCTTGTAAATGCTCTAGAACCATTTCAGTTGTCACTTCATTTTTAGTGTGCTTTTCAAGAAATTCTAGATAGAATATTCAAAAAAAACAAAAAAACAGAAATAAATAAAGACAAGTTAAGGGTAATTCGATTATATAGGCAAGCACACATCAACACAATTGAAATGTCCAGCAAAAAACCATATAATGTTTCAAGTTAGCACACTTCATATCTGCAACTGAGAAGATCAGAAAGCATGAATATCTGAGTGTCAGAAAGAAGATTAGAGTAAAATACAGGGATGAAAATATCAGGAAGATGTGATGTAAATGCAGCTGACTACTTATTGACTTAGACTGGCTTTAGGCTATTCCATTTACCGAATTACGTATTCTGTACCATTATCACCTAAACTTTTATTCAGAGGGAATAAAGTCTAAAATCGATAATTCATGATGAGAAAGTACGTACACTCACTGTCTAAGTTGACGAGTTACATCTTCAATAGTTTTCACCTACATATTTTAGACATTATAAATTAGAACCAATGGTAGTGGTGTATAGAAACATGTCTACTTTGTCTTTCTTCATAATTATGACGGTAAGAAACGAAATGGTTATTGAAACTACATCTGACACAGCACTGGTATGGCAGACTCAATAAATAAAGATTTTAAAAAAGACTGATTCGTTTCAAGTTTGATCATGCATTGATGTCAGTTAGAGAGCCATTGGAAAAACCAACAGAGGACACTAGACAGCTGTCTAATCCTAGTGCCGGACTCCTGAGTAGTAAGTACCCACTGGGGTTCAATCCCAGGAGCTCCCACTTAAAAGGCAAACTCCTAGACTAATTCAGCTACCTGGACTCGAGTCAATGACTGATGAATTTCAGCTTCTGCCAATTCGTGATCCGCGCAAGACCACCAGCCAATGTCTTTGCTCCCGATCTGACGGACCTCCCACTGGTGACGAATTCTCACTAGAACTCTAGGCAACTTTGTCGTGCAGCTAGGGATATAATTAGTTTCAATTTTGATTGAGGAATGACGTCAGCTAGAGAACCCCTGACATCAAATGTTTAAGCCAACAGACACATGTCTCCATAATGATGAGAAGAATATGAGGCGAAATTTTGAAAATGAAAAGCCATCGCTGTTGCACCTGTGCTGTTTTAACAGAAATACAGACTACCTAGCTGGAGTTTACCTAACCAAAAAAACCAATGATTAGCTAGACCATGTATGTACGATTGAGAATCGACAGAACAGATTTAGATGCATGGATACTTTGTCTTTATGCTCAAATGCAGTATCATGTTCCTTTAATAACCTTACTGAACTTCTTTTCTTAAGGAATCCCATGTTATTTTGAGGGGGGGATGGTGGACGGGTTGATTGGTTTTCGACATCTTTTCCTTCGCTTTTTTATCACCTGTATGAGGTGTGCATATATAAAGTTGTTGCACCTTGGGCCACTGCATAGTTATACTTTGTTCTATGTTGATGTCTGTTTGTCATTTCGCTTGAAATTAGTGAGCACAACACGACAACAAACAAAAGCGCACAGACGGATAAACTACACACAGCAAAGGGAAAAAAAACTTCTAGTCGAACGATATGAAAAAGATCAAGGAATATGCGCGTACTTAGGCCTTCAGAAAACTAATTGTCTAAAAATTATAATTCCCAACTGGATAATCAGTCCTTTATTGTCTATTTTACTCCTTTAAGTTCCGAGTGGAACATAAGGCTTCAAGCATGGGCTTGGAAGTTTCAGTAGCAGTGGTGTTTATTTTTACGGGGAACGGCGTCACCAGTCTCACGCTCAACCTTCCTTCTTTACCAGTCTTACTACCGGCTTAGCAAGGTTTACGGGTGCAACGGCCCGGATTCAAAACCCCAGGTTCTACCACTGAACCACTGATGTAGGTAATTAATGATAATACATTTAATCCCGTTTCAGGAGGCCACTGTATATCAGTTCACTGCCTTGATTATAACGTGCTCACCATGAGATCCAACAGTCTCACATGGAGTCATGAGCATTAACTACCTGAAACTGCTCTTCAGTAGTTTTGCAACCGATATCTATTACGTATGAGAGTTCCTTTAGTATAAACAAACTTTTGGACCACCATTAACTAGGCTAATTGGTCAAGGCGTCCAACTTCTAACCACTACGTCACGAGTTGTAACCCTGCTCCTTCTACTAAGGTTTGGGTAGCTATGTAGGTATCATTAGCCAACTTTATAGAAATGCAAATAATTGTTGACAGTGACATTTGTGGACAAGAAAAACCGCCTTTTTACTATGATTAGTTAGGTTAGAAAACATATGGAAAGTCACGCTGAACAAGCTTTTTTCATGGAAGGATTTCCTAATGATCCTCCTATTGTCTCCAACATCGATGAAGTATGAGTGTCCTGAATGAGAAATATTCACTTCAGCTGGTGGTCACATTTCAAACTTGACTGATAGAATTCAGTCTGCACTAAAGATAGGACTAGACACATTACACTAGTTACTGACCAGTGTCCAATCAGAATAAAAATGATGAGGAGATATAAGAACAAAACTTGGGCACTGTGGTAGAATGTAATTCCATTATGGGTAAATTTTTATTTTGATAGAGTCTCACAGTGTTATACAGTAATATTTACTGATGACGTTTCGAGCACAATTTATTGCTCATAATCATATCAAGGTAATCACACGACTTCCTAAATTCATTTATATAGTTCCATTGTTTTTCACTTGATTTGTTTGGTAGTATTATTTTCCATATTTCGGGTATGAGTGATGATTCATTCCTATTGCATGTGTTGGGTGTACATTCGATGAACAAAGATTCAGTAATCAACCTCTCTCTCCACCTACCTAGATTACTTTTTAGAATTTTAACCCTCTCCCACCCTATTGTGTGGTTGTGTGTTAATGCATGCATTGCAATTGCCGAGCTTTTTTCTAAATTACTTATCTTTTCTGGGTCAACCATTCTTATCTTAGCTAAATTCTTATGTTCTGACAATCTGGCTACCCCTGACCTACTAGTTTGACCTATGTGGTTGACCTCACAGTCATTGCAGGGTATTAATGTATGTGTAAAACTTGGGCACTGTGGTAGTAAGTAATTCCATATTAGTTTGTTTATTAGGTATATCACACAGTGAAACAGTATTATTTACTGGATGACGTTTCGAACAAAATTTATTGTTCATAATCATATCAATTGGGATCACACGACTTTGACACTTGAGTTTATAGTTTCTTTGTTCTCCTATTCGTCGTATGGGTAGTAGAATTTTCCAAATATCGGGGACAGGTGATGAATCATTCAAGGATATGATTATGAGCAATAAATTGTGCTCGAAACGTCATCAGTAAATATTACTGTATAACACTGTGAGACTCTATCAAAATAAAAATTTACCCATAATGATGAGGAGAGTTAATTACAAATCGAATACTATAGAGTCACCTGTAGTAGAGAAAACATAACTGAACGATGTCTATATGTAATTTATTAGTCTATTTACCTAGGTAAACACATTTACGAATACAGTTTCAAACTAAACTGTAAGAAAAGCCTCTTCACAATTTACCCTTCAGTCTAATTATCTAAGCTAGTAGTGACAATATTTCTATATTCCATATATGCTCCATTGAATGACTAGTTAGCAGATAGTTCCCACTAAATAAAGTCAAAATGAACAGCAACCATGTAGCGTGAAGTCACAATTAGTGGATGATGAGTAGCAGTGGAATCTATGATAACGCGAATTTCGTCCTATTTAGGACTCGTCACTGGGTGTACCTGTATTCCCAGTGAGTGATGATGTTCCCACAGGAAAATCTAAATTGAATCAAATAATTAATAAGACACGTTGCACCAGAAAGAGGTGGCTCTTGTGACCAAAGTGGTCTAGTGGATAACGCTTTGGCGCTTGAAACGATGGGGGCACTGGATTCGAGCCTCGGTGGGAACACCATCACTCACACTGACTGGGGAATGCAGGTCCCAAATAGGACGAAATGCACATCCTGGATTCCACTGCTAGTCACCATCCACCAATTGACTTCAAGTTACATGGTCAGACATCGTTGAAACATCTGCACAAGGAGCCGACATATCAACCTGAGACCGAGCACTGAATATTAACATGTGTAAAACTTGGGCACTGTGGTAGTAAGTAATTCTATATTAGTTTGTTTATTAGACGTATCACACAAACAAACAGTATTTTTTACTGGATGACGAAGTTTCGAACAAAATTTATTGCGGTTCATAATCATGCCATCAATTATAATCACACGACTTCGAAACTTGAGTTTTATAGTTTTCTTTGTTCTCTCCTATTTGTCGTAGGCGTAGTAGAATTTTCCAGGTCAGAGTAGTACAACAAGGGCAGTCAGACTAGCCGAGTATAAAAACCTAACAAAATCTAGATTAGTTGAGCCGAATGAGATAAGAAATCTAGAGAATAGGTCAGCCGTAGATAGCACTACATGCAATTACACACAACCATACAATAGGATGGGATAGGATGACAGTTTTAAAATCTAATGTCACAGGGTGGAGGGAGACATTGATAACGGAAGCTTTGTTTATCGAATCAACTGCAAACACGTGTAATAGGAGTGATTCAACACCTGTCCACCCAGATATCTGGAAAATTCTACTACCCCTGCGACAAATAGGAGAGAACAAAGAAAACTATAAAACTCAAGTTTCGAAGTCGTGTGATTATAATTGATGGCATGATTATGAACCGCAATAAATTTTGTTCGAAACTTCGTCATCCAGTAATAATACTGTTTCATCACTGTGTGATACATCTAATAAACAAACTAATATGGAATTACCGAGCCCTTCGGTCTAGTCAATCAACGGGAAAATCTAAATTCAATTAAGCAACCATGTAAATTCATCATAAACCAAATTTACGTAAATTAAATAATACTTATCCATGCCTGTACAATTGGTGTGTTCCTGTATGGACAGGAATAAATATATCGTTATTATTATTATATAAATTACCAGACAAGTAAGGCAGAGAATATCAAAGTTAATAGAAGAATTAAATCTATGTATGCCACTTTTCAAGTCTTTACCTCTCTACATACGGAAAGGTAACTCCACGTGAACTCTATTAGTATTTAATTTCTTTGTTTTCCGAGTGAAACATAGACCTTCAATTTTCAAATTTTCAGTAGCAATGGTGGTTGTCGTTTTTACAGAGTGAGGTTACTAGCCCAACGCACACACCCAACCTTCCCCCCTCTTTACCGGGCTTTACTACATCACCGGTTAATCGAGATTAAGGAGTGCATCGGCTGCGGGCGGGCGAGGGGAGGGGAATCAAACCCGGAACCACGTGTGGCCTGATTGGTAAATATTCTACTGAAGTTTACCCTACTCAACTCAACTCAACTCTATTTTTACGAGTTGATCACGGATTGATATCAGTTAGAGAACCATTGAAAACCATCACTGGAGTACTGGACAGCTGTTTCATCCCACTAGTTTGGGAATCATCGGCAGTACGCACCCACTAACAGGATTCGAACCCAGGACCTTCCGGTTACAAGGCAAGCTGGCTGGTATACCATTCAGCCACTGGGACCCGATTCAATGGCCAGTGCATGAATTCTAACTTCTACCAATTCGTGATTTAGCGCGACCCCAACCACTGTCGTTGGTGGGACATCCATCCTCACACGTGACATCTAATTGGACCTCACTGGTCACGACTTCTCACTAGAACTCCAGGAAACTCCATCCTGTAGCAAGTCACTAGCGAGCATCAACTATATTTCTTTAGCACGAAAAAAATCAAGACAGGTAAGTGCACACTGCTCTTAACACACACACGCACATTCAGTGGATACATATATATATATGTACATATAGAGGACACTTGAACAGTTAGCTATCGGTGTAGTGTGTGTGAAAAGCAAAAATTAAAGAACGGGGTTAAACTCAAATTACAAGTTAGTTGGTAATGTTTTGTTTTGTTATTTAAATAGTTAAACTCGTACATATTAAATTATCCTTTGATGGTTATATTCACATTTCTTTCATACTAACTGGAATATCCAAAAGATGTTAAAACTAAGAAGAAATGGATAATGAAGAAAGAAATATGTAAGGCATGTAAGTGTATTGTTGCATCATTTGTATATATATATATATATATATATATATATATATATATATGTAAGATCGTGTAATGTAACACTGTGAAGGATTAATTTTGTATACTTTACAACAAATTCTGTCTTCGCTCATTACTACTCAAGATCAGATGGCCAGAACAGATCAGTCACAGGGAGGGATCTCTGGGAGCGAACCAACCAGGAACCGATTGTGCAACAAATAAGCAGGAAGAAATGGAGATGGATTGGCCATACTCTGAGGAAGCCATCAAGTGACATCACTAGACAAGCCATTGCTCTAGTGGAACCCGAAAGGGAAGCGGCGAGTTGGTCGTCAGTGCAAGGGTGACTTGGAGGAGGTCATGTGAAGAGGAGATGAAAACGTGTGGACAGACTTGGAGCTAGGGGAAAACTTTAGCAGAGAACTGAACGCAATGGAGACGCACGGCTGAAGCCCTATGTTCCTCTATGAGTTAAAGGAAATAATAATAATAATAAATAATAATAACGGCAAGCAAATATTATCTCACCTTTTGTTCGCTGTACTAAAATCGATTCTAAATTTTCATCTTCAGCTTTAGAAGTAGGATCTACTCGTGGAGCAGGATCGAATGCAACTAGGACCATACTCATGTTATCAGAACTACCCTGAAGAGAAAAATAAAGAAATGGGAATATTATAATAGACTGAGAATACTTTATTTTATATTCAATGGCTAGTTGTTATTTGTGTTTAATGAATAAGGAATAAGACTCATATGCTGAATATAGTGATGAAATAACTTCTATGCCTCATAATGTACGAATATGTAAACCGTTCGCTGCAAAAAGAGAATGGTTATACCAATGTATAAACATATGAGCATACATATATAAGTGATAAGAATAACGATAATTAAAATGTTATAAGGGGTAGGTAGAGTTGAAGTGGATGAATTACAAAATTATTACAGATTGTTTTTATAAGTGAATTGATATCAAAAATATTTTTAGACAAATCACAGTGCCAAAGAAAAAACTGTTTATGAGTCTTGCATTCAAAGGTGACATCATTTCTGAATTGATTAAATTATAAATGTATTAAACGCACTTTTTCTGCAGCTGACTTGCAACTAGTTTTTACCAGCCGAAATATGATTAGATAATGAATGCGTCAAGGATAGATTACCGCTTATTATGTCCACATCTATGTGCATTTACTCTTTTACCTGCTCCTGTGGAGCTGATTATATTGGACGTTGTAAGCGTACTCTCTCTGAACACTATCCGGTTTGGTTAATGAAAGGCGAACGTAGAACTGCGAAGTCGTCTATTTGTGATCACCTGTTAGAGTCTGGTCATTCAGCCCCACGTTGATTCATCCTTCAAAGTTATCTACATGGCAAAATCGAATCGCCCCAAAAGTTTACGTTTTCTTCACTTATGCATAGCCGAAGCTTTAGCTATACATGAACAGAAACCTAAATTGGTCATAGTAATGTTCTTTCTAGTTTTTATTTTATTTTATTTTACCACTTGAATTCATTCCACTTCACTTCACATCTTTATTCTTATCGTAATCGTACTCCTAATTTTTAAAATTTTTAGACAACGCTTGACATTAAAAAAAATATTTTTGATATCAATTCACTTATAAAACAATCTTTAATAATTTTGTAATTCATCCACTTCAACTCTACCCCTTATAACATTTTAATATGAGCATACTATCCAATTGGACGCTCGCCGACCATGCACATGGTTCGGGGTTCGATCCCCGGCCACAGACGCACTCCTTTACCTCGCTAAGCCAGAAATAATGCTGGTGAAGAGGAAAGGTTGGGCATGAGGCTAGCAACTTCATCCTGTAAAATAAACACTGCTACAGAAACTTCAAGCCACTAGCTTGAAGCCCTATGTTCCACTGGGGAAAGTGAAGGGAAAAAAAATACTATCCAATGTGTGATGAAACTGCATTGTCTGTATGCAGACTAAGAGTATATCTTTAAGAACAGATAATAACTGAACTGAATAATAATAATAATGTGGATAAGTGTGTAACTGCCTAAACAGCTCTATCTACCTCAATCGAGTAATATTTCCTCATCTGGTGAAAAGATAATTTAGCGAAATCTCCTATTATTATTATTATTCCTTTAAGTTCGAAGTGGAACACAGGGTTTCAAACAGTACACCTCCCTCTCAACCCGTTTTCTGCAGTCCTCTTTATCTTTGGCTTTACGACCGCCCATACACTCTCATATCCTCCTCACATGATCTCCTGTATGTCACCCTAGAAATTACACCTAACTTGTCTTCTCCCACTTAGACTCCATTAGAGGGTCTGGCGCGCGTTTTCACCCAGTGGTTTCCTCAGCGTATATCCAATCCATCTCCGCTTTCTCCGGGATATTCGGTGAGCAATAGGTTCTTGATCGGTTCGCTCCCAAAGTTCCTTGTTTTTGATTCTTTCCAGTCAGCCATCTGATCTTCAATATGGAGCCAGTGAAGAAGGCAGCTGTTGATAAAAGTCTGAAGTCTATTGGAAATGCGTTTTATGACTCATAGAAGAATTGACTGAACATCGATGTTGAAAATTCGAATCTTGGTCTTTATTCTGAATGAAGCAGATTTGAAAACTGATGCCTCTGCGATTCTCATTTTGACATCGTCATCCATGCTTCCACCTGTAGTTGAAGCAATGCTTTCTAGATAAGTGAAAGAAGTGATCTCATTCAAACTTCTCGTGTTGATAGTGATTTGTGCTTATTTTGTGCTTTGTTGGTTGGTTGGTTGTCTTCATCACTTCTGTGTTCTCTATCTTTACTTGAAGTTCTTTCTTTGGTTGCTTCTTGTGTCAAATAGTTGGTTTTCACCTGTAAGTCTACATTTTTATGTGAAAAAGTTACTCACTATTATTAGACTACTGCAGCATCACTTACACTGAGATTGAATTAGCAATATCTAAAGACATTTGAAGACGCGGTTTATAACCTTAAACACTTGACTTTCAATCAGTGAGTCTCACAATTGAATCGCGTTTCTCTCACATACTTCAGCCAGGACAACTGAGTGGTAAGTATCATTAGTCTTTACACAATAACTGTGTGGCTCATAGATTGGAACATGAGAGAGAGAGTCTCTATCGGGGATTGACTTCAACACGTGCTATCAACTGAAAATGCTACTACATACAGTGGGCCTCGAGATATTCTGCTGTCTACTTAGCCATGGTGGATTTCCTGGGCAGTAGTATCCACAAATAAATGATCCTAAGTATGATTACGACTGATAACAAACGTTAAGCACTATACTACACCAAAAGAAAATCAATGATTAAAAGTCAATGCATAACCAGTAGGATATGAGAAATTCCATCACTCCTCCCCTAATCTGCCTTCATTGTGGGATAAGAACGGAGTATTGGCTAAAACGTGAACGCGGGATTTAAACATCAGCACCTCTACACTGTCGCCTGAAAAAAACCAGTATGCACATTCTGATTGCGACTTAGTCACTTGACCTTCAACCTTATAATAGTAGGAGATTCGTAGTATGATAAGAAGAGTATAGTGCGAGGATGATGATGATGATATAGGGAGAAGACTTCCAGACACTGGATTTAATGGATACACAGTAGTTTACTGAAAAGGCAATTATAATAAAGTAACTTGGAAGAAGATATTTATAAATACTTCAATCATATTTGGAAGAGTAAAATTATTTTGATGTAGTTGTGTTCTCTAAGCTGGATAGTTTATTTACGAAGCTTTCATTGCCCTACTAGGCAACATCTTCAGTGCATACTTCAATTTGTTGAAGTGAGCTTTTAGATTTCTCCACGAGTTTATTAATCATCTCTCCTGGCGACCTTGGATGTGATTGGTTGTTTTTGTGTGTTTTCACACCCTCTAGGCTACTTGTATTGGTATTGGTCTGATTGTTTCCTTGACTTGAAGTTCGACCCTTTGTGTGTGAGATTTCCATCTTATCGATTGGTAGATTTTGTCTATGTCAACGTGTTTCTTAATTGACGATTCACTGGAATACTAGGCTTCTAAAAATTCTCTGGTATTCTTGTTGTTTCCTCAGTCCAATATTTGAGCGTTGTCCCAGTCGAATTGATGTCCGTGGTTGTCTGTATGCAGCGAGTGATATGAGGAAGTGGATGTCATGTCTTTTGATGGCTAGTTTATGTTCATGGATACGAAGACGAAGAGGATGTCCACTTTGACCAATGTAGTGTTTTTTGCAGTCATTACAACTTATTTCTTAGGTGATGTTGGTTTTATCTTCTTTCACTGTTGAGTCTTTTGGTTGGCATATAGATGAGTGAAGTAATTTTGTTGGTTTGTGTGCGACATCTACTTACTAACTAAACACGATAGACAACTATAGTAATGGAGTGAAGACAGACAGGCAGAGAGAGAGATAATCCACGTAACTTTATAGAGATTATTCGAGCTACTTTTAAAGAAGAGATAACTTCATACACGAAGAAGATATCTAATGACAATCTATCTATCTAAATTTTCTTGTCAAATAGGCTGTTACACCTAAATGCTCCGTCCTTCTTTATGGCTCTGAAACATGGCCAATACGAGTTGAAGACACGAAAAGGTTGACTGTTTTTGATCATAGATGTCTACGATCTCTTTCTCACGTTAGGTGGCAAAATAAGGTAAGTAATGTTGACGTTAGGCGTAGAGTATTGGGCAAAGAGGGAAAATCAATCGAAGAGGCTATAAAGTTACATAGATTGAGATGGCTAGGTCACGTGCTGCGCATGCCCCGACGGGCATTACTAGCTGATATAGGTGCAGGTTGGAAAAGAGTAAGTGGTGGCCAAAAAAAAACATGGCATCAATCCATGAAATCCTTGACAGTTAAACCGAGTCAGGTAGGGAGATGCAGACTTCCGGGTTGGGGCCCGCCCTCGGGACTCTAAGAATCAATGGCTGGAGACAGACAATAGGTGATATGGCTCAAAATCGTTGTCAATGGCTTACGCAGATGTATTCAGTCTCTGTAATCTTTCATATTCCTTTCTACCATTACTCATTCTGTTTCACTCTTATACTTGTCAAAACTCTATTGATTCTCTCCACTCATTTTCTTGTCTACCTTTGTGTGCTATTTGGAACGTGGCAACTCGAACTGCTGCACTTTGGTGCCAAGTTCTATGTTGAATCCAGACAGACAGAGAGAGATTAAATGAACACACATGTCACGCAGCATTATGAGTCTGTAGTCCATTGGTGGAATGCTCATCAACCACCAACCACGCGTGTAGTCCGGGTTCGACTCCCAGCCGGTGTACTCCTACACTTCGCCTAGCCGATAGCAAACCCAAAAAAGAGGGAAAGTTGTGAGAGGCTAGCAATGACACTTTGTATAAACCACACTAACCCTCTACTGAAACTTCAAAGCTTGAACTCTTATGTCCCGCACAGGAACGCAAAGAAATGGAAACAAAAACATGTTACACCAGACGACTGATGGCTACTGGATGGATTTCCTCAAGCTGAGATGGGAAGTTGTGACCAGTGGATTCTTATCGAAGGCATTGGGTGAGGGCAGTGCTATACCACGAGTTGACAAAGTTAGAATTCAGGAGTAAGTGAATTCCAGCCCAAGTAGCTGAATGGTCAACCAGCTTATGTCTCATAACTTGAAGGTCTCGGGTTCGATCCATGGCTGGCTTATGGGTGCACACTGGTGAGGAGTCCCAAAACAGGACGAAGTAGCCGTCTAGTACCCTCTGGTTTTCAATGATCTCTCTAAATGATGTTGGTCTGTGACAAAAATCTAACAACTGCAGCAAAAGGAAATAGGTATGTACCAAATTAATTCATATACTGATGACACGATAACTAGAGTGCAACAAAATGTATTACTCACTTTATACAAACACATATCTATAGTTTCATTGCATATCATTGACAAGTCTTCAACACATCGCATACGATTTTGTAATAGTGAACAGAGTTCTTCATTGGTTAACACATCCCAAATCCCATCACATGCTAAGACAATAATCTCATCTAAGTCTTTATCACGATCAACTACAGTAATTTCAGGCTCTGGAGAGATCAACTGTTCTGTAGGCCCAAGATCTTTGGCTGCTTTAAAAGCATAATCACCTAGTGATCTGTAGAAGTCAGACAGAAAAAAAAATAAGAGATTACACAAATGATAAATGTAGCTTAAAAAATTTGAGTAGAAAACGTTTAGCAACAAACAATTTGAAATTCAAGATTGAGTGATACAATCAATAATGAATTTCTCTAAAGTCACCTACTAGGAGTAATTCCAAATACTTTTGATGTTTTATCCCTATGACTTACTTTGCAGCGTATTTTATCGTGAAAAACAGTAGTCCACAGGAGAGCTAAGTACTTAGACAGAAGGGTAAACGTAATAATAATAATAATAGCTTTATTCCAAACAGTACTTATGGTGCCAATATGGGATTTTCAGCATGTAGTACAGGCTTGCATCTAACTTCTTCATCACAGGGATAATAATTAAAACAGGGCACTTACATTGATAATATTGTTCAATAAGAAATGAAATATAAGAATAAATTAATCGAAAATATTAAACAACAACGTAACAATGACAACAAGGGGCCGTTTATTTACACCTCCGCAATAGGTTGGTAATTTCTTGCCTTACACTTTTCTCATCACATAAAATGTGTGCTAAATAAGGTGTTGTAGAGATTTTGTACATAGTCGTTCGAGGATACAGTCTTCTTCTAGTTCTACCTGATGAGAGTTGTGTATAGAGAGGATGCCCAGGAGTCCATGTGTCTGTCTGTAACGCTATTAACCAGTTGGTTTAGCCACACTCCACTAGCCCTACTGACAGCTTTTAGTGCCCTTAGCAGTATAACAAAGTCTCTCTCAATTAGTCCGGGAAAGAGCAGTGAAGAAGTATAGACAGAATACAAGAATTAACAAACGGTAACAGTAGAGACGGAATGATATCAAATCGTCTTAACTTCCTTACGTAGAACGTCAAACGAAATATCTTTCTGGAAACTAACATGATGTGGGAAGATCAGGAAAGATCAGAGGAAATACATAGTCCAAGGTATTTAACATTCGATTTAGTTTCAACTTCAGTGCCATCTATGATAGTGGCGGAACCGTGTGAACTAACCAGTTCTCGTAATTCGTGCTTGCATCTAAAAGTGAAATTAACCACCTGACGTTTGAAGGCATTAAGATTAAGACCATTTGACGAGGACCACTGACTAATTTCTGATAAAAAAGTTATTTATTTTGGAACAGTTTAACTGAGAAGTAAGAGGCATAGAAAACACCTCATAGCTTTTGAGTTTGTAGTTGACCAAACAAAGTTCAAACTAAATATGATAAATGTACATGACATAAACAATATTCATTATTTTGAGGTTTGTATACCCGAATAAATGAAAAACAAGCCAGATTGTTTTTGCATAGCGAAATCCTACTGAAAAATAATTTCCATAATGATCTACTTATATTTAAACAATGAGGTACATTAGTATTTCCTGTAACGACGAGGTTAAATCACGTATAGTTGTACTTGAGTAGAGTCTGTGGTGCCGGAAACCCATGGCCAAAAATCAGTGGGTTCGTTTTTCTATATTCTACCTTCAGAGATTGCTCCTCACAGCCATGAAATACAATGAAGCGAAATGTTGTATAATGCATGCGCCCTTTGACGAATAGTTAGGAATGACACCTGGACGAAAGATGACACAAGTTGGCAAAAGTACCGAACAAGTCTTTCGTATCCGTACTAAGATTTCATATTAGTTTGTTTATTAGGTATATACACAGTGAAACAGTATTATTTACTGGATACTGTTTCACTGTGTGATATACCTAATAAACAAACTAATATGGAATTACTTACTACCACAGTGCCCAAGTTTTACACATATACTACTGAGATTTCGTCAACAACCAGTGATTCAATGTTAAGTAAACGCTGAAAATGTTGTCCAGAAGGACAATGGAAGCTTCGTAATTAAACGAACAACCTCAGAAAACACAACCACCTTATTTCACTCTCTGTCGTTAAACTAGGAGAGTCCGTGAAGACCAACCGAGCTTACGTCCGACAGGAGTGAGTCGTATTTTTTCTATTCCTTCACTTTCCCAGTGGAATATAGGGGCTTCAAGCTAGAGGCTTGAAGTTTCTGTAGCAGTGGTGTTTATTTTTACAGGATGGGGTTGCTAGCCTCATGCCCAACCTTTCCTCTTTACCAGTTTTATTTCTGACTTGGCGAGGTAAAGGAGTGCATCTGTGGCCGAGGATCGAAACCCAGACCATATGCATGGTCGGCAAGCGTCCTAACTGCTGGGTCACCGATGCACAGTGATTCGTATGCCTAACATATTTGGATTTCTGTTCATGGTGTTTGGAAGACTGTGTTTTCAACTTATGAGGACCTGAAGCAGAAGCTTACACAAGAACATGATAATATTCCAAAATCGAAGTCATATGTGGCCAGCCTTAAGCAACTGTCTCCTGGGTTCTGTGTTCAGGCAGCACTAATGCTCCTCCTCTTTCATGCATTCTAAGAAATCAACTACAGTGTAGACTGCTGGGAAGTACAGCCTCACTCGCAAACGCCCAACATCATGTGAGCGACTTACTCGTTTTTAGTCTAACCGCTATCCAAACGATCTTTCTGGTATAGTAAGACCTGCAGCAACACTTGTTACAGACAGTGTAGCTCGTTGGGTCATTGTGGTATACAAGCCAGACTACCATATCAAGGTAGCAGCAGTCGGTAGAATGTGTTCAAAGTAAAGTAATGACATAGAACTTTATGCGAATATGCATTGTTTTTAGTTGGTTCAAATAAAATTAGCACAGGTCATTAGATTAAAGCATTACTATGTGAAGCCACGCACATATATCCTCATTTAACTTCAGGTAGGCATATATATACATATAAAAAGTAAAATAAAATTTTAAAAATGACATACCTAGAAACAGCAAGAGAACCATTTACTCGTTGTATGATAACTGAACCACCAGCGTTTTGTATACGTTGTTTTTCATTAGGATTTACTGGTTTATGATCGACAGTAGCAAAAGCAACTTTTCCTTTACGAATTAGTATTGCACGAGAATCTCCACAGTTGGCAAAGAAAATATGTTTCGGTGTAATGAGTACACAAACAGCAGTAGATCCTGACCTATCTTCTCCACTAGCAAGTTGAGGAAGATGACGAAGACGATCATCCAAAGATAAGAAACCGTCTCGAATACCACGTTCTACTTCTTGTAAACTAGGTGCAAGGTCAGGGTTGATTTTCTTGAACTCTTCAGTATCCACAATACACTAACAAAGTATACACAAAATGGAAATCAATGATATCAAAAAGATAATTCTGGCATTATTTTCATTACTAAAATTAGGTTTGTTGAATAAAGTCCAGGAACTATAGGTAATATGGATCATAGTTTTTCTAATATTGCGGTCGGCAGCTGTTGCCTTGATGTGGTGGTCGAAGTTATATATTGCAGTGAACCACGATGTTATAGTAGCTGGGACGACTGTTCCTATAAGTTACCACGTCAGAAAAGTTAGCCAGATAGTAGTAAGACTACGGGGAATTATTATCATAATGTTACCTGTACTATGTTTGGGGTCTGAGGGTGAAATGGTGCTATTTTGGTAAAGGAATGTGCTAGCAATAAGATTTTATTTTCCAACATCTACCAAGCCAAATATGTTGTTTTCATATTCTAATAAGAAGAGGTAGGTAAAGGTAGGCCTCGAAAATTGTACGTTTCTGTTTATCACACGGTAGTCAGTAGCACAAATTGAGGTTTATATAAAAATGGTGTTCCATATGTTTTATCACCCCGAAGCAGTTTGCCTTTCACCGGGCCTCTAGCAGAGGTTCGCTGGGCTCTGTGGTCATGCAAAACTTTCTATTTTATGGGTACCTAAGGGCAAAACTGTGAAATTTACCTTTAGGGCATAAGGAGATTCTGTGGTATAGGGACGGCACCAAGATCTAGAGCAGAAAAGTTACTGCTCAACTGGATCTCGGTTGACATTTGTGTGCTGTTTGGCTAAAATGATCTGTCTGAAGGAGACGTGATATCCCAGTGTCTTTTACAATCACCCCAGTACTCACCACAGATTACAGTTCGTTTGAAGTAGAAAGACAGACTTTGAGAAGAGCTGTTGGGTTAAACAAGATGCTCACATTTAGTCATATTAGCACGTGACTTTAGTTTCAAGTGGGAAAACCAAGCTAGTCGGATAATATATATTTATATTTCAAATACAACCATCAGCATGTGTTCATTATTTCTTAAGTAACCAGATTTATTGGAGCCGAACAGATAGTTATTGGGATTTTCTATTGGCATAAAGGTAATATTCCCCGACTGTCATCCGGTAAGGTAATGGGTAATTCACGAGGCAGTTGTAGGATAGGGGACCAGTAATGTTTGAAGAACCTCGCCTAGCTAACTAGCTGGTTACTTTTCTAGCCGGTCCCAAGACCCGGTAAAGAGGGAGGGTTGGGCGCGAGGTTAGCTACATCACACCGCTAGAGCTATAAAACCGCTATAGATACTTAAACGCACACAAAATGTCAGAAATACAAAAATTCAAATGACAATATTATTCTTTGCTGGAATCGGAGAGGCGAAATGACCAGCGGGCTGGTGAAAGCCGGCCTTCGGGAAGCCAGTCAGCTGATGTGTCTTCTCTCGATGAAAGCAAGAATAAGAATGGGGATGGAATGTCCGTACAATGTACGAAGCCAGCTGGGAAGGCTGCCCAAGTACCCAACGAAGTGCGAAGATTTGGTATAGAAGTGTTGGGTATCTGCGAAAGTAGATGGAACGGATGTGGATTGTCAAAATTTTCAATTGGAGAGTCACTAATCTACTCTGTCCTGGCCCCTCAGATGACAACCACGAACACACTGAGGGAGGGGCAGCCAAATACCTAATAAAGTGGGAACCAATATCATCCAGGACCATCACAGCAAGATTCAGCTCAAAAGGTAGGAAGGTCACAATTATCATGCAATGCTACGCACAATGCTATAAACAACGCTGAACAAGAAAAAGAGGATTTTTGCAGACAACCACAAGCAGTAATGTAAGAAAATCTCAAATGGTGACATCAGATTCCTCATGGGCGAAATGGACGCCAAACTGGAACCTGATAATACTGGAAGAGAACTCGTCATGGGTCGAAGGGTCTCGCTTGGTAAAATGAATGAGAACGGAGAATTATGCGCAGATTTCTGCGCTTTCAATGATCTGGTGATCGGAGAGAGCGTGTACAAGCACAAAGATATGCACAAACCAACATGGATTTCGCCTGACGGACACACTACAAACCAGATAGATTTCATCTCAATGTTACTCAAGGAAGTGGAGACGCAGCCTGCTGGACACAAAGTCGAGAAGGGGAGCAGATGTGGATTCAGACCGTCATCTAGTTCAAGGAACCTTTAAGGTGAAGCTGAAATCGTTCAGAACAACTGGAGATAGGTCACTGTAATTCATTCAGAAACTGAAGGACAAAACTACAAGAGATGTCTTCGCTACAGATATCAGAGCAAAGTCAGAGATACAACGTGGCATCACTGAGGAAATCTGTGTGGAAGAACATTGGAACTCTCTGAAGGTGGTCAAGGAAACGTGTACAAGTGTTCTCAACGGATACCTGGAAGGTAATAGAATAGCGGAGAGGAGGGTGGTGAAAGAGAAGATAACTCAATGCAAAGGTGGGCAACAGAAGGAAAAGCTGAGTTCAATGTACACTGCATTGAATAAAGAAGTGAAGAAGGGTGCTACGAAAGACAAAACACAATTCTACAACACACTGGTCGGCAACTAAAGCAGAACTGGCAGGCTGCAGGTAAAAGAGACCTCAGAACATTATATCAGATAACCAGGTCTCTATCCGGGAATAGATCAACCCAGATGATGAAACCAATAAAAGATGCTCATGGGAGCCTGATCACCAAGGTGGAGAAACAAATCAAACAACGGGCTGATCACTTTGAAGAACTCTTGAATCGACTACCACCGGCAAGTCACCCAGAAATACCACCAACAGCAAGCACAGAACTGCCTGCCAGTGGACACCAATCCTCTAACGAGAGCAGAAATCCTGAATGCGATCAAGCTACTGAAGTTCAGTTGGGAAGGCGGCAGAACCAGACGGAATTCCCTCCGAAGCATTGAAGATGGACCCAAGGTTTGGGAAGAAGGGAAGGTAACTACCGATTGGAAGAAAGGTTGGCTACCTTATCAGGCTGCCAAAGAAGGGCGACTTAGGCCTGTGCAAGAACTGGTGTGGAATCATGCTCTTGTCCATGCCAAGTAAAATACTAAGTCGCATCATCCTGGAGAGAATAAAGGATGCACTGGATACAGAACTAAGCGAACCGGAACAAGCTGGATTTATGAAAGGCAAATCATATGCTGATCAAACTGCAACTCTACGCATCGTCATCACAGAACAAACCATAAAATGGCAGTCAGTCCTCTACTTCATCGACTTCCAAAAGGTCTTCGACAGACAGCGTTGACCGAGAAGTAATTTGGAAACCACTTCAACACTACGATGTGCAGCGCCCAAGTCTTTATCAGATGGCTATATGACTATGTCACGTGTCAGGTGATCCACATTGTGAAACTCAGAGAGGCGTTCGAAGGGAATACAGGAGTAAGACAAGGCTACCTGTCTATTATCACCGATGATATTCCTAACTGTGGTGGACTGGATTATGCGTCAGATTGTGCTTGATAGCGAGGAGACAGGAGTACGATGGACCACCGATAAGGAGACTCTAGAAGATCTGGATTTCACGGGTGGATAATATATGTCTAATGTCACACGAACTCGAAGACTTGCAGGCAGACGAAAACCTACAAACTGGCTGAAGAAGAAGACGGTGAAGACAAGACTGCAGGTGAACATAGAGAACATGGAGGCGATGAAGATAACCAACCAGTACCAGCAGCAACACCAACAACAGCCAGCACCAATCACCATCAACGGGAGAGATTTGACAGAGGTTACCTTATTCACTTATTCGGCTAGGAAGCATCGTTTTAACTACAGGCGGTTGGCGCGGATGAAGATATCAAAGCCAGACAGAATCGGGAAAGCACTCGAGTGGAATCCCAATGGGAAGCGACGAGTGGGTCATCCTGGGGTGACATGAAGGAGGTCCTGCTAGGAGGAGATGAGAGATTATGTTTGATCGTCAACCCAGCTGAAGAAGACGGCAGAAAATAGAAAGTGGAGATGAGTTGTTGAAGCCCTATGTTCCACTCGGAACCCAAGGGAACAATAGTAAAAAATATATACCTAACGAAGCAATAACTGTGAACATCTCTCAAGGTTCTGTTCAGATTGTCACTTGTTTCTGGTTATTACTAACTTCAAACCATAAGGAAAGGTGTTACCTCACTTAGCGATCACTGACATCAAGTCAGGAATAGACACGGATAGCACAGTTTGCTATGAGACATCAATGGGGGATTGAGGCTTTTTCTGGAACACGTATGTTGACTTTGATTATGCATTACTTCGTAAAAATGTGCGATTAAACGGACACGGAAAACAAGAAGTTTTGAGGTAAACACCAGGTCTGGATTTAGATGCAAGTTAGTTGGACATAGTCACATTTATCCCGAAGAAGTCAACTACCAATCTGTGGAGACAGCAGAGAAGAGAGTTGGTAACCTGGAGCGAAATGTGTGTCAAAGACATTGGATCACTTTAACCTCATTCAAAATGACTGATACGAGTAAAAAGGGTTACGATGGGATCTGTCAACAAGGGATTGCTGCCTGAAAGTTTTCGTAAAGGCTGTGAGCACTAGTGAATGGAGAAATCAAAAGAAATGACAAAAGTCACCACTAGATAATGCATAGTGTTTAGGTCTATCAAAGAAACGGAAACTAAAATTTGTGGCAAGTGAAACATTCAAGATAGGAGGTCCGAGCAACCCATGTGAATGTGCCGACCATTTTATTTATTTGGGAACGTACGTCAGTCCTGGTAAATTGGCTGCTGAAGAAATATCAGATTAGATACAAAAGGCATTAGTCAACTTGCAGGGCATGAACAGCTTTTCACTCCATCCTCCTTCTACTGCTGGTATGACAGCCTAACACAAACAATATATCCGAGGTTTTTGATTACAGATGTCTCTATAGTGTTGTTCAAGTTAAATGAAATAAAGTAGGAAATACTGAGAATGGCCGTTTACTGTTAGGTAAAGAAGACAGGTCAATGGATGAGGTGGATTTTGATCATTTTGTATAGTTGGAGAATGCTATACATACCCAGTCATCACCTTAAAGTGCCACCTATTATCCCGCACAAAAGTTCTAAACTGTTCACGTTGTTTTACCAATATCTGGGACCTTCACAGATAATATACCTTTAATGGCTGTTTAATCACACAGTAGAACAGTTACACAGGAACAAAATTCAACCTGCAACATTTTCACGAACGGAAAACTGACTGGAGCAAGAGAAACCTGGCTGCCTGCTTAAATCTTCAGTCTTCGAAATATCTCCTCAGCCTAATAACAAAGGTGAACCACATGAGAGCGAACAAAAGCTAAAGACAGTGATTTGTATGAAAACTTATAGTAAAGTAACCAATTAACCTATTTATATCATGCTTTTGTGTAAAAAATATCTGACAGTTATACATAAGTAGGACGTGATTTCAGAAAAGAAAGCCTTGAAAGAAACTGTGGTTAGTGCTTTGCCCAAGGAGTAGTCACGCTACTTGCTCGCCTGGAATGATTATCCATACTAATCGTAAACTATCAAATTACTATTGTTCTCTTGGCTACCACAGCATGTCTCCACTTTATCATATTCTCTGCGGTCAAAGAATTGTAGTCTCTGATCTCCACCTTGTAACTAATAAGGAGAGTATTTCAAGATTTTAGTGGATTCTTCAAGGGAATATAATTTCTTTAATTTTTTATTCAAAGTTCACTTTTTGGTCGTATAAAAAAGTGAAAAGAATCATTAGTGTATAGTGCATAGTACATTTACCTGACCAAATCAATTCTCAACACAATTAACCACATTTATGCAACAGAGAACTAGTATAAATTCCAATTAAACGACTGCCTAGAGTCTATTCACGGATGCAGGATTTTAATACTTACAGCCTATGATGAGCTGAGAATAGCAATGACGAATATTCCAGGTATGTCAGTAATTTGGTGAAATTTAATGACACTATTCAAGCCTAAAATGCAATCTGACAATATTCACACTGTGAAACCAAAAGCCTTACGAGTTAAGCATAAGAAATGCCTCATTTTATAATGCATATATACAGGTTATGATTGGGTTTAAACTCAGTAACCCTAAACTCGGAAATGGCAATTATGAATGTCCTTAGATTATGTTTCATTAATTACTGCAGAAAAGTTACACAAGTAAATTGATTATATTTCCGCCATCCCACAAAACGTATGCCGAATTCTACTTATCTAGTTTTCGGAAATTAACCGTGTGTAGGCATCACTAAGCTATACATGTAACGAATAAGAAGCTGGTAATCCTTAAAAATCTAAAAAAGCCAAGAAATAAGTGGTGGAGTGCTGAGCACCACACAAGCGAACCTACTAGGATATTAGAGGGTGCTAACGAACGTATCCGTCGAGGCTATGAACAATTTGGCATTGTTGTAAAGTGAAATTTCGTAAAACGCCTCCCAAAGTGATACATAACTGTCCAAATAAGTAGAGGCTTTAGTCAAAATAAATGAGTCGAATTTCAAGCACATAAACAAAAGCATTAGTGTCAAAGTGTCAGTGGAAAATAGACGAAAAGGTAGTGTGTTATTATCTTCAGTCCAACATGCTTTACGAAGTACGTCTTAAGATATAGTTACAATTCATCTAATGTCTGCGTCAGTCTCATAAGGGATGAAAGGAATACATACGTTGACTGCAATAGTTTTCTGGAATTCAACCCCAAATATAAAATTAGTTCTATGCTTATTAAGTAAGAACTCAGACATTACACCGATTTGTAAGAATCACTACTTAACATACCTTTAGCAGTTCCGTCGCACATAGTTCAGACACCAAAGCTCCTGCATGACCGTCGAAAACAGCGAAAAATGACCAATCTTTTAGGTTTCCAGGAAGCTGAGTTATAGCACAGTGTGCATCTTCCATTGAAAGACGCCAGCCTTGCATACTCGATATACCGTAACGTAATCCATTTCCACAGCCGGTTTCATTATATTTGTCAGTTTTAGGCGAGGCCAAAAGTCCTCCCATGTTTTACACCGGCTGTATGTCAAAATTCATACAAGTATCGTCCACGATCAAACACGTTCACAAACCTAAGCACAGTGTTCCAATGGTCTCCTTTCTTCAGCTTAAGTATTCGGAAGTAAGGCCCCACTGGACTGAAATGAATCGCAAAAATTTATTTTAATCGCAAGAAAGATAAAACACTGTGGCACAAATTCAATATCGTTTTTGCGACCATGTGTAAACCTTATGGCTTCTAGTGAAATAAATAAGATGGATGGGACTTTTGTAGTTCAGATGCAGTCTCATTGAGCTAAGGTGCTTCGATTAAGGATTTAAAAAGTTGGCTAGCACTGCTGAAGTCATCAAGTGATAGAGCAGTGGTCACGTCCAAAAGCAGTTATCTTCCAATATCCAATATCCTGATTACGAGCTAGTATAAACCAGTGATTTCTTTGAGCTCGCTTCTTGATTGTAAGGTAGAGGTTCCAGATCTTCGGTGAACTTATGCGTAGTAAATCCCGCCACTCGACTGCTTTAGCTCTGGTAGACTCCAAGAGGAGTGGTGCGAGGATTGGTCAAGATTGTGGTTTGTAGTGTGCAGTATGTTAGGACTCAGCTGCTGCCGTGAATGGAGTTTGACCTGAAAACCCTAAGGGAAAAGAAATCAGACCTCAGCTTCTTTGCTGCCTTCCACTAAGCGATTTTGTTTGGTTTGCCTCAGAAGGACAAATTTGTGATCGATGATTTGGTCTGTGCACCAATTCTTATGCCATACTTGACTGTCGCCTTACGTTAGTTGGGGGTGTACAGACTGAGCTTTGGGAACCGATTATCATATGATTGGCATTTTAACACAGTGTAGCAGTAAATGATTCCCCAAAATTATTGGCCGCAGCATTCATCGCTGAACATTGGATGCTGACTGTTTAAGTCAGCTTCTTTAGCTGAAGGCTTCCAATCATGCATCCACGCCATTTAGTACTCCGTCTTGTCACTTTCGTGTACGATCCCTAGCTAGCTAAGCAATCACGTCGCACTCCGATTTGGTCCCGGTATATATGTCGTAATTTGGGCGATCAATTACTGTATTTTGCTTTGCGTTTGGTCTATGCGGAATGAATACTATTTAAGTTGTGGGTATTGGATCTTAATAATAATAATAAAAATAATGTATTCTCATTTTTGTACATGAGGGACGCCAGTTTACAGGCATCATCTATATGATAAACTACATATACGATTGGTAAGCATATTTAGTAATGATAATATAATAAGTTACATATTTGTTCCTACCTATGTAGGACACACCAGTTGTACAGGCATGGATAAGTACTATTTAAATTACATGAATTTACTTTATGATTAAATTACATGGTTGCCAGTTAGTTGCGTTAGTATACTTCGCACTATCCGTGAACGTCAATACCGCCAGCTTCTAAACGGGTGAGCCCTACCTTGAACTGTGTCTTTGGTAAATACACAGACAAATCCGGTGAGTTCGTTCCATTTTGTATTTCTTCTTGTACTATTTTCATACTATATGTAATTCGTCATGAGCGATCATACTCCTAAGGTCATTCGTATTCGTCCAACTGCCAAAACCATTCAGCTCGTACCATTTTGGCCAGATATTGCGGAAACATGGTTTCAGATAGCTGAGTCTGATTTCTGTGAGCATGGATAACCGATCAACGTTCACAGTTCCTTGCAGTTGTTCACTCCGTACCGCGGGAATTCAGCAAATGCGTAACTGTGCAGATGTCGATCCCAGAGGTAAGTAGCTGGTATGAGATGCTTAAAGCAACCCCCTTAAGGAGAAACGTTCTCACGGATCGACGGCGTCTGGACGAATTATTTCGTAACGTCGAGCCGTGAGCATGCTAACAACAATGAGAGAGGTTATTGGCCAGCGTCGGTTTGATGGAGGATTTTTCATAGAACTTTTCTTATCCAAACTGCCACAGTCAGTGCAGGCTGTGCTGATGACTCTCCAGGGCGTTATTAAAGATGACTTAGCTGTTTCTGCAGATAAAATTCTAGAAATAACTAAACGGCCAGTTACTGAAATATGCTCAGTTGCCAAACAGACTTCGAGTAGGGACACTGCAGTGATAGAGTTATGCAACTCTACCCAGCAGCTGCTTAGGTCAAACATACCGCGTAATTCCTTCTATCGTCGTCTGAGCTCCCCTCAACGGCGAAACTGGCGTGGTTGGTCTAAGTCCAAACCACGTTCACTAAAACCCCTGACTGGTGTTGGTATCGCAATACCTGTGGCCAGGAAGCAAAACATTGCCGAAAACAGTGATGGTCTTAGCTGCTAGTCTTCTAACGTTTTCTAGGTGGTTGTTACCTCCTTTTAAGAGTGGCGAAAGAGTTACCTTTTAAACTCCTAAATATATCTTGTATATCTGAAAGTCAAGGTGTGTGTGAAGCTAAAGGGATGTTTCGTCTAGCAGTATTGATTGAAAGTGCTAAATAGCCGGTTTTCTGCAGCGCGATTTCCTTTCATTATGATCAGCTCATCCTCATTTCTCACCGCCTTCCAAAAATCTATAAAATCAAATTACGAAAGTGCTGGAAGGCTTCAAACATAGTAGCGTGGACTAATACTATGCCTTTGGCTTTCTCCAGATAAAGCGTATGCATCTCACCTTATGGAATTCCCAGCCTTCAGATAGGCTTTATTTGAGGATAAAGGTCTATTGCCACCTCCCATTCTTGAGACTCATGCAAGTAGGACTCATAGGAACACGTAGTCAAAAGCTTCAAGTATGTTTAGGAATAACAAATTTTTATATAGTTGTCGTATTATGCTGTCCAATTGGTTGGAACTGCGAACAAGTAGGTGGGACTGATCATTCCTGATACCGTGTTAAGCTTCACTTGTGGTGTTGTTGTTTGTCAGTTGGGCCCTAGTGTTAATATCAAACTTTGAAAATGTTGGTCTTAGAACTGCACTTCGCTTAAGATTTTACCGGTCGTACGTTTTAAAAATTGGAGACGAAATATCACTCTTCTGACGATTTAGTAAGAGATGTCTGTACAAAGAGTGCTGAAATAGCTGACTTTTGGTAGTACACATTTTTGGAGAGCTGTTTTGGAACTGGTGGTCTAGTATAGTTGCATTCCGAAGATTTATGGGTAGGGCTTGTTAGTCCCATACTCGAAGTCATTTTAGGAATGATCTCCTTGATGCCTGACTGCTGCGTCCACTACCTGAGTGTCAGTGTTTCACTTGATTCCTCGCTGTTCAAATGTTTTTGGAATAAGTCACCAAGGGCTTCAGCCACCTCTTGGTCGCCTGGTTGATAATTTTCCGCGCGGCGGTGAATCGATACAGATTTTCCCGTTTCCTCAGACGCCGGTATTATACCGATACTTTTGGTGGTAGAAATAGGAGATGTGAATGTTTTCCTGAGAGTCTACAAAAATCTTCTACCTGTTTATTCTTTTTTGTACAATACCATACAAGGTGTATTTTTCAGCATTATGGCTCGTGACTTCGCTCAGGTTTAGTCTCAGGCTCTCGCCAACTTTCAACATGTGGGTATTACGGTTATTGAGAGGCGTGCTTTAAATGTGTGGTAATCACTTAACACTGAATCGTCCATTGGGGATACTTAGAATAATTTCAAAACACGTCAAGAGTCGTTACATATGATTTCATCCTTTAGAGGGTCTTTAGTGGGACAACATATTACAACTAATAGATAAAGAGACTAGTTGTGACATTATTCCACAGGGAGGAGATGGTAAGGGAACGTTTTGTTCCCAGTGGTTTGCAAACTTTCGGGGCGGTTGAGAACCATAAACTGAAAACCGCGGGTGGCTTTAGAATAAAGGCTACGAACGGTTTTAGAATATTACAGGCACTACACAAGGCCTTCATAAGTTTCGGCGTTGACTTATTTGGTGTTGTATATGAGATCTTTACCAGATATTATTTGAAAATATCTAGGATTCAGGCACTGAGGCCATACACCGAAAACGAAGTAGATGTATTACGGGGAGTTTAAGGAGTTAGAGCTGAGCTGATCATTAAATTCTGAAACTTCTGACGTGAGCAGGAGAACGTTTCACTAAATTTTGAACAGGACAAAACAACATACTGAGGACACTATGACAAAATTATATTTTGTTGAATTTTTCCATCTACGCAAACCCTGAACAATTTAAATATCAATGTGAAAATTATCCAGACAATTTATTTGTCGATTGCGTAATTCCCAGATGCCTAAAATAGACATCTGGATTAGCGGGTTACCAAGCGCTCTTGTGTAAGTACTTGTAACCAAGAGCAGTAAATAATAGTTAATTTTGTGTGTTGTGCAAATGCTGTTAAAGTAGAAGTAAGGAGAGCACGTGGTTTGCCAGTGAATTTCTGCTCGATATTCGGGGTTTGATGTGTTGGCATGTGGCGTAATCCTTGACCTTGATGAGTGAATATATTGTTGTCAATATTACTTTATTGACTGTCTGGAAAAGAAACTGACGTCCTCTTGGCCGGGAGAGTTTTCTCTAACATTGCCCCTTCAAACACTGAATTTGTACTTTATATAATAATAATTTTATTTCTGGAACAGAAACCAGCCATTTTTACAGACATGAACATATGTACACTAATTGGAACTTATAGAATATATATGATTTGTTAATCTAGAAATAGATTGAATACTGGTAAATTTGAGAGAAATATTTAAAAAGAAATGTACAAATAAGGCAATAGATAATTTTTGAGATCTGCTCTCAACTGAATAATTCATGAGATATAGCATCAAATCAAAACAGTAATTGAAAAAACGTTATGTCAATTTCAGGCAGGAATTATAAGCGATTACGTTAATTGTGGGAGGTAAGTAGCATTTTTGTGCAGGTGCTGACGTTAAATATAAGAGATGCAGAATGAATAGTAATTGTAAGTGAATGATTCATAAAGTGTTTGAAAGTCCATAAAACTTCAAAGTCACCGGTAAGTACACCATAATTGTGACATTTCCAGTTGTATGTGAGACCGACTTTGAACTTGTCAGCAGATTTCATGATAGAGGTGGTTCCGTTATTCACCAGGCGGGCTAGCAATATTCCGAATTAGTTGAGGATATATATATTTATTCCTGTTTATGCAGGAACATACCAATTGTACAGGCATGGATAAGTTATTATATAAATTAC